CGCGACAAGATTTATAAGCGCCTGTCAACGAGCTACCAAAGAGAGAGAGAGAAAAAAGGAGAAAGAGAAGCAGAAACCGCCGTGGTCACTTTTTGATTTATAAGCAAAATGTTTGCCGCGTTGCTCAAGTATTTATGAAACATTTCAAGCCAGCGGACACGGCGGCTCCTACTCTTTTTCCAGCCAGTTGACACTGCAGTTGTTTGGGGCCTGGGAGCAAAAGGCAAGGCAGCCGGAGCAGCAGCGGCAGTAAGTAGCCGCAGTAATTGCGGCGGCATGTGAAATATGAGATAAACTCCAAGTAAGGCCAAGTCCATGGATCCACAGCTCCATAGCTCTAGCTTCGAAGCATGTGGCAAGTTGTTTAGAACTAACCAAACCGAGGAAACAGCAGCCTCCACGACAGGCAGGCGACAGGCGACGACAGCATTTTGGTGCCACTTTGCGGCGAATGCGAAATAACTTCGCACAATTGAGCATGCCGACAACGGGCAGCCAGGAAAGTTGAAAGCAAAACAAAAAATAATAGTAAAGAGTAGTGGCCACAACTCCCAACTTGGGCATTCTATTAAATTAATCGTCAATTATCAACGGAGCTGCAAATTATCCAGGCCTATGGGGAGCAAGCAGCTGAAAGCAGGATGCAACAATGTAACTCGAAAATGGTGTGGAAAAAGCCATTACACTTGGTAAACTAAATTATGTGTCGAAATGGCCGTGCGGCATGTGCAACCATATAAATTAGTGAGAGGTAGAACCAATATCCTCACATCAAAACAATGTAGTTTTTTAATTTTTCTTACATTTTAAATCCTTTCCCCATTTTACTGCCCTTCTGAAATTCAAAAGGCAAACCATTTATCAACCTCTTCTGGCTAACAAATCAATTAAACTTGTGCAGTCGGTTCTAATTAAGCCACCCAAAAAAACTATTACCAAATTTTTAGAAGGCCAAGGATCCGCCCCCTCTTTACAGAAAGTAAAGCAAAAGCTTCACATGCAATTGGGCTTGAGCAAACGTCGAAAACGAAACGAACGTAACGGCCAACTTGTTCGCGTTCGCTTGTTCAATGTGTTTAATTAAATAGCAAGCGTAATTAAATTGCAATTAAATTAATTAAAAAGCACGCAGCCGCAGCACGTTAGCAAACGGTTCGGTTGCCCACTCCTGTTGCTCCTGAATTTCAGTTTCCGTTCCTGTTCCTGTGTTCCTCCTGCTTTCGTTCGTTTTTTGAAGAGGGTTTTTCCCGCTTGCCATTCAGTTTAGGGTCCAAACGGTTGGCAGGCGGTGTGAAAGGAAAACAAAACAAAAAATACAATGTTGCTCTGGACATGGATTCCCTTTTCCACCAATTTCCTCATTTTCCCTTTTCCATGCCGCGCACAATTAGACTTTAATTTTTTATGAGCAATGAATGGTTTCGCAGTTTTACTTTTTGGTGTTAAATGCTTGATTAAGTTGAATGGTGAAAGCTATGCAAATTTTCCCCTTTTTCCGCCAGGAGGGGTTCGGGTTGGAGTTCGGAAAATTGGCTGCTTTGATGTTGCTGTTCCTCGTGGGGGATGGAAAACTCCATAACAATTCCCGCTTTCCCGTCTTAATTAGTGCAATGACAAAAGTTTAATTCTAGCCCCTGGAAAATGCAGGCCCAAGATGTATGCAGATGATGAAGAAAATGCGGGTAAATGAAAGAAAAATCACTCAAGCAGCTAAAGATTTTACCAAAATTAATTGGCCAAAGGGAGGACTAATGGAGATTTACAGGAAATCTGTCAAAGATTGTGCTGCGATGTGGGGGGTGGTCTTAACCCTTGTTTAGGTAAACATAAAACTAAGTTTCAGTTAGGGGTGAAATTTAAAAGCATCTTCAGGGTTTCACCTTTTAAAACTTAAATATTTTCAAGAAAATACACTTTTTATATTTCTAGAAAATTAGTTTCGGTTATCTCCAGTGTTATTTATGGCATTTCTTGGAGATATGAGACCAAAAACATAATTCCCACAAACATGATTTATATTTGCCCATTAATTTCAATTCAGAGGCAGCACATAATCGAAAGTAAATGAGCAGCCAGACCAGACGAGACCAGATACACCAGCCTGCCGGACTGACCAATTTCCTACAAAAGTTCCGCCGAGTAATGGGCGAGTAAAATCAACAATAATAAAGCCACACAGCACGTAGGCAAAATGAGCAAATTGAATTGCGGCAATTACTTGCCACGCTACGCAAAATCCAAGTAAAAGCCAAGGAAAGGGGCAAAAGACAATCCAAACTCAAGTTCATAAAAATGAAATCATGCCACAGCTCAGGCAGAAGATCAAAGAGGACAAATCAATAAAGCTCCAGTGAGGAAATAACTTAAAGTCAGCCAAGTCAGTTGGTCGGTTGGTTGATTGGTCGGTCAGAAGAATAAAACACAGAGGGAACACAGGAGACGACCCCAAAACCCAACCAACTTGACCTGGTCAAGGCTAAAGGCACATAAAATAAAATTATACAACGGCGAGGAGGGAAAACTAAAGCAAACTGTCTTTTGATCTATGGTGGCTACAGATGACGATGATGATGATGTTGTTGGATGATGAGGATGGTTGGTTGGTCGGATGGCTGAATGGCTGGCTCATCCAACAATGTGGAGCAACCTCAACGACCAGTCCCCGAGTAAATTGGCATAAGAAATCAGAAATCACAGAAGGCTGCTCCTCGGACTCTGAGATAAATGGTCATGGCTTCTTCGGCCAAGAGCACCACCGAATGCAATATTAAGTAAATATACAAAACGTTGTCGGCACGGCGCACAAAACTAATGATGTCGATGAAGCTGGGGGAATATCTACCGATGCCTCAGCCTCTTCCCCTGCCAGGGACTCCAACTTCAACTTGTGTTCAGCCTGATAATGATGCGGCAGACAGGCCAAGATACAAACAGACAGGAGAGTCGGCCAACTGGGGAGAGCAGAGACTCTCGGGGAGGAAGACGACTGGACACTGGCGATATACACACGCCAGGTAATAAATTTCATTTCTCAGCTGATATGGGCAATTAAGGAACAATTTTGCAGCTGAATGAGTAATAAATAAAAATTGTATGCCAGCGATATATACGCAGATACAAAGCTGCAAGACGTCGACGGTTGTCGGTTGTCGGTCGTCAGGCCCCAAAGATAGTTTTCGGGATAAAAATACTCGGTGAAGGAGGCCAGAGTGACCGACTGCCTGACTGTATGAATGGATGAATGAGGGAATGAAAATGAAACCGAGACTGAGCCTGAGACGGAGCAACTCCTCTGCATGCCTGCCCTTTTGATGAAAACAACTCAATGACGTGATTTGTGCCGCCAACGTTGCGGGCATTCCATCCATCCGTTTCGTTTACCCATCCCTTTTGCAAAATCCTGGCTCATATAAATAAATCACATTTCACTGAACTGATGTGCAAAATTCTTCGACTGAAAAGGGTTCTTCTTCTAAGATTTCTTTTTGGGGGGGCCATAACTTAAAGCTGCGAAATATTTTTGCATAATAAATCAAACTTCCGCCGGGGCAGCCGCTTTATCTTTAGCCTTTTCCCATAGCCTCAAAGAAGTCCATCAAATGTTGCCATTTATCCCCGGCAACTTGTCTGCTCTTTGGCATTATTTTAATTACACTCGAGCCGGCTCCCAAATGCAAAGGCTCGCAGCAATAAAACCAGAACCCAGAACCTGAAGCCAGAAGGCTAAAGGTATTTTTTAAATGCTCCCCTGCACTGGGAAAAAATTGATGTGCCTTTAAAATTGGGATTTGAAATAAATTAATTAAAGTTTTTTTGCTTACTATTTTATTCAAATTCCATTTGAGAGAAAAACTAAAACTTTGTTCTGAAAACCCTCAATTTTGCATTTTATTATTAACTATCCTGCTTTATATTATATTATCCCATATATTAACTTATCTTTCTGTTTGCCTTGATTACAAATATATTTACTATATTTAGTTTTCAGTGCAGCTTGTGGATTTACTGCTGGTCAGAAAACGAAACATTTTCGGGGCCATCGGTGCCTTTTTGGTAACACATGATATGTCGCCTACCTGGGAGATGCTTTGGCCAGGAGTTGGAGTTGCAGTTTCTGGGATTCAGGGATTCGGTGCTAAAGAAGTGAAGCACTCGCCGAGCGGAGAACAATGGAGACCGGCATGGAGCAACATGACACTCGAGTCTCGAATCTCGAGTCCGAGGATAATTCCCAGACAAAAGGCCACTGGTCAGCGGAGAGTTGGTGTTGAGCACTTGGATCTGGATGAGAGGAGACCAAAGACCGAAAACCGAAGACCGAAGGTGGAGTTTGCTGCTTTGCCTCTGTTTAAATGTTCTCCATTTTACTGTCAAGTGCGGACCGGACCGGGTTGACATTTGCCAACGATGCAACTGCCCCTGGGATCCCCATTCCTATTCCCGTTCCCTGGTATTCCTTTGCCCTCCTCCATTATTTGATTCTGCTTCGCATGTCGAGAATTTTAATTTAAGTATGTAAACTGACATTGAATAGTTTTTCGCCAGGGAGCACATCTCGCTCGCCTCCCTTTTGTTGTGGGCGGCAAATGGAACGACTACTGGGTTCCACCGGAACCCAACCCAACCCAGAAATAAGTGGGGGTTGGGTTATTCCATAGTTTAGGGGACCGGGCGAGTGCAATTTCAGTTTTGTTTGCAATTGGATTTCGTAATAGAAAGCTCTGGCCAAAGTTTTGCTTGCAGCAGCGGGTGTGTGCGGCGGACTGGCGATTTCAACATGCTGGATTGAAAGTTTTATGACAGGCAGGGGCGGATACTTTTAATAGATATTTAAACCCTCGCCTCGGATTCTGTATCAGCCGGGGGAGTAGAATTTGGCATGTTAATGATGCCCGGCACGACTTTTCCAACTTTAATTTGGGGGCGCATAAAGAATTCACGGTTCTTAAATTGCATTTTGGGTTAAATATTAAATTTTTTTTAGGCACTAACTAACTTACCGGTGTTGAGTATGGATGCGCCGTGAGCCGGACTCCGTCCGTTTCCAGTTGCTCCCGCAGGACGAGCTCCAGTTCATTGCTGGGCGGTGTTTCGCAGAGGATCTCCATGCTGCCCGAGAGCGAGTTTGGATCGTTGAGCATAAAGTAGACGGATGCGGCGCCCTTTTCCCTCAGCGATCGGATGCTCTTGAGCAGCTTGTGTCGATGGGCAGGATTCTCAACGCCGATGGCGTCCAGATCGGGATCACCGACCTGTTTGCAGATCTCCAGGTCGTCGTACCCGTTGTCCAGGAAGCTCTCGGCATATTGGGCCAGGCCCAAAGCTCTTAGCCACTCGCAGACAATATTGCTAACGGCCATGTTGGTGATGATGAGGTTTAAGTTTGTGGGTGATTTCTAGGGTGATTTCTTGGGTGGTGTTTTTTTTTCTTTTTACGTAAGGAGCTGTGCTGCTTACGTGTGTGCCCTGCCAATTACCGTTACAAAATGGCGTCTATTAGTTTCGCTGTGTATTGGTGAGTGCGCGCGTCACGTGCGATGAGGGGGGCGTTCAGTGCCACGCCTCCTTGCTCGCATGCAATTTCCGTTGCCACTTTAAGCTATTGTATTGTTTTAAATCGTCCTCCCTGGGGCATTTTCTCTAATTTTTCGTTCCCCGCCCCCAGACAGTCGTAAAAATTCAACGCGTACACTCATAAAAATTTATATCGCACTTTGAGCATTTTTAGCATAATCCCAGAAGGCTCCAGCGCTGGTTTATCCTCACATTTTTGTTGGCACCGCCGTCGCTGCTCCGCATTGCTTCTGCAAAAATGGATAAAAATGGGGGGAATTTTAGTAGTCAGCGCGAAAAACGTTTATTTTCAATAATTTAGAGAGAGCGGCCGGAAAATTGCATAAATTTGAAATGGCTGGCCGCATATGGTGAGCCCGCATATGTCTATGCAAAATAGATGATATAACCAACCCGACAACCCGCGAACCCGCCGACCCCTCCGGAAAATCTGGTTTTCCCACCATAATATATCTCGCACAAATCAATAGAGCCCGCGGCTATTGCCACAATTGATGTTGATGACGTTGCACAGCCGAGATTCAAATCAAACTCAGAATGCTAGAAAATTAATTAAACCCAGTAGCAGCTGCGGTTTGTTCAACTGCACACGCCCTCACATCATTTCACCCCCTTTGGAAATTCCCACAATCTTTTGGCTGCGAACATCTTATCTAGGTAAAGGGCCTATAATGCGTGCATTCCTGCTCCTGCTTATGCACACATATCACTCCATCATATATATATATACATGTTCGAATAAGAGCCCCCCTCCAAAAGTTGCTTCCGCTTTGGAGAATCCATGAGGCGTTAAACGCAAACTAAAAGCTTATACACACACACTGTCGATATTTTTCTGGAAAGGCGTGTGCCGCGCTTTTGGCTCCCTCGCTCATTGATAAATGATTGATTATCAATCCATTCATGGGCTGTATGTGAGTGGGTGTGTTGTGGGCGCCCTGCGGTTTCCCCGGCTTAGCACTAAAGTTTAGTGTTTGCTTTTAGTTTATCTTTAATGGATTATTTTAGTGGTTGCTTGGCTCGTCAGCGAGCAGCCGCAAAAAAAGGGAACGTATAATAAGATGTTGTATCTCTGGAACTAGGGATTCCCATTAAGTAAAAACTATAAAAACATATATACAAACTAAGAAAAAATTTAAAACATCGCATTTAGTTTTCATTTCTAAATTATTATAACAATCATTATATTAAATACAAGCGTAAGAGTTTAATATATTACAATATCATAATATTCCTAATAACCTATAAATATATTCCCAAACTTCTGAAACCCAATATGGGACGTTCCATGTCAACCCGGCCACCCCACTTTTTTTTTTTTTGTATGTGGACAGTACCACATTGATTGCAAAGCCACTTGCTTCCAATAGTTTACCTCATGCCTATTTTGTCAATGTTACCACTCTTTTGCCGTATAATCGCGTTGAAAAGAAAACACAAAATCATTTTTATCCTGCGAACGGAAGATACAATTGGCATGGTTCAAAAGCAGAAAAATCTGTCTTTCTATAGCCGATTACGAGAAAAAAAATAGATGTTATTAGACCGTAGATGACCAAGCGATAGCGTTTTAAAGTCTAAAAAGTAGGATTTCGTCCAAAGGGCCAGTCTGCAAAAGTACCATTATATTTTTCTCAGAAAGCCCCATATTTAACGGATTTTATGCCACTGGTTTCAAAGTGGGATCTCTCTTGAGGAATTAGCTATGAATTCTTTTGTACGTTTTTGTAGTAGTTAACTGTCAGAAAAAACTAATAAATAATACAAAATAATCGTATATGCTTTGAAAAAAAAATTAACAAATCAATGAAAAGAATTCATAGCTAATTCCTCAAGAGAGATCCCACTTTGAAACCAGTGGCATAAAATCCGTTAAGTATGGGGCTTTCTGAGAAAAATATAATGGTATTTTTGCAGACTGGCCCTTTGGACGAAATCCTACTTTTAGACTTTAAAAACGTTATCGCTTGGTCATCTACGGTCTAATAAAATCTATTTTTTTTCTCGTAATCGGCTATAGAAAGACAGATTTTTCTGCTTTTAAACCATGCCAATTGTATCTTCCGCTCGCAGGATAAAATTGATTTTGTGTTTTCTTTTCAACGCGATTATACGGCGAAAGAGTGGTAACATTGACAAAATAGGTATGAGGTAAACTATTGGAAGCAAGTGGCTTTGCAATCAATGTGGTACTGTCCACATATAAAAAAAATAAAAAAGGGGGGTGGCCGGGTTGACATGGAACGTCCCATATACCCTTTCTCGTTTTTAGTTACCGGGTATAATCGTTCCCATAATCCAGAAGGCCTCGCCCAATCTCACCACCCCCACACCTTTCGCTAAAGGACAAACATATCATATAATTTATGTTCCACTCCCCAGAATCAGAACCACCCACCCACCTCTTTTTCCAGTGACTAAGCTGATTTCTTGTTTTTTCAGTCGCTCTTCTCTAGTTTTTCTTTTGCTTTTGTGGCCATGTTGTTGTCGTTTTACTTGTTGTTTTTGGGTTGTTGTTGCCTGGTGTGGCAGCTGCTTTGTTTCCATTTTCATTTTCATTGGCATTGAATAGATCAATCATGGACGGGTTCGATGGTATTCGGTTCGCCGTACAAATACTTCAATGATGACCAATTATTCACCAATAAAACTGTCGACCAAATGTCATGAATTGAACTTTTACTTGCTGCGCTAAGCGGAAATCAATCGCAAATTGCTGGGAAAGTGATTTTGAAGAGTCTATGGAATCAATTACGACGAGTTTGAGTATTTTTTTTATTTCAATGATTTAATGGAAAATGTGTTGCTAAAGTGTGCACGTTCGATGGCAGATTGATTGGAAAATTCATTTAGAATTATTGGCAATGAAATGTAAAGGGTTTTTATGGCCTTAATTGATTGTTAATTCCTTTGCGTTCACAAAGGGAATAAAAAAGTTATTTTAATAATTTTTTTTTCTCTTGCAGCTTACAAACATTAAATAAGCCTATTTTTAGGGAGTTTAATTTACCAGCTCTTTATTAAGTAACCCCATCTCAAAGTTTTCCCATAAATCAATCATAATATATTAAATTTTATTATAAAACCGACATCAACTTAAATGCCAACGCTTCTGGTCCCCATGAGTCGCGGCGAACCAACCCTTTCACTTCCGACCTATTGGCTTTGCATATTTCTCTTTTTGGGGTCAAAGTTTGTCGGGGGCTCGATTTGTTTTGCTTTTGTTTTGGTTTTTCCTTTTTGTTTCTGTTTAATTTTGTATCTTCCGCCCACGCAGTTCACAGCGGGTGGAGATGGAAAATAAAATAAAAGAAAACTAAACCGAACCGAACTGAACAACGATTTAATGCAACATCATCGAATAAATTGTGGCCGGACTTGTTGCAGTTGTTGTCTTTAGTCAACAAATTGATATCGTGTGGGCGTGTTGTCGTAACGCATTTAATACAAAAACAATTTTTCTCAGATTTTCGTTTTTTAGGGTCTCCTCTCGGCCAGTTTAATTTGTCTGCCTGTCGGTTTTCTGTACATTTTTAAACGCTGTCATTGGGATCGTGTTTGACTCTTGGCCTTAGCTTAAGACAATTGTGAGAGGTGTTGCCGGGCAAATCAAATTGCGGCTCAATAAACGGCCAAGCAAATTACAATTGGGATTGTTCAGTTTATGTTGCAGTTGCAGCCAGCAAACGACAGCAATTGCAACACGTCGCCAACAGCTGTGTCAGCTGGCACTTGGCTGTCTGGCGATTTATCTATCTAACATCTAGCGGGGACACGCGGCGTATGCGCAATTGCCATTTAATTAAAAATTATTTGCACAGCCAGGCGAAACAATTTTTCGTTGATTTCATTTATCATTATTTTTGTTGGATTTTTTTTGTACACTTTTTTTTAGCTCTGCAGGTGCGCAACGGAAACGACATAAACAAAATATTCACACGCTCGCCGGTCCACGACTTTGACTTAATGGCAATTAAGATGGCCAAGACCACGCACTTCTCGGGGCAATCTAATTATAATCATTAGCTGAGCAAACACAGGAATACACATCTATATATTTATACAATTTTTGCATAGTCCCCGGAGTTAGTGGGCAATAAAAATTAAACAGAAAAATAAAAGAGAGGAAAGCAAATAAATTGCCAGCCGAGCAGGGCGTCTTCATTAATGATAGGAAGTGGAACGAACGAACGAAGAGCGGCGAAGAGGCCGAAATCCATTTGACAACATAAAATTTTTGTTTCAAGCAACTGCCGCCACTGGGGGCATTAATACCAACGGCTAATTAACTTGTTGTTGAGCTCGTAAAATAGTTTGGCCGCTCATCAAGATAATAAAGGCCCGCTCGGCCAAGTCGGCAGCCAGCCAAGTTTCGGTTTCAGTTCGACTCTTTAATTGAGCCCAGAAAATTGTTGACTTTTGTGGCGTCAGCTGCAGGGAACAAAAAAGAAGCCAAAACGATTCTCCGTCACATATATATTTTATATATATATATTGGGCACTTCAAGAATGTCCCGAAAAGGGAACGGAACTGGGCCGAGCAGGTCGACCTGACTGCAGTCACTTTTGGTAATTAGATTTTCAAGTCGAGATAATGAAGTGGACATTAAAATTTTACAACCTCCGGGCTAAAACACACATTCACATGAAACCGAAAGCAGGCGAACGCATTCAATAAATTAATTACGAATTTCAAACCTTAGACTAGCCCCTTTTTAATGCCAGGTGGAGTGGAGTGTAGTATAGAGCCACACCCAGCAATAAATATTGAAAACTGTCCCTGTCGTCTCTGGTCGAAAACCAAAGGCAAAACCAGACTCAGATTCAGATTCACACACATGTCTGGCTTTGGCATTTATAATGTAGTATGCATGACTCTAATTAAACCGCAATTGTTGTGTAAACTTTAAGGAATTGATTGCTCGGACACGATCCAAGGGGACACAGGTCGTAATGCAAGAAGTCTTGCCTGGCAATTAAGCAGCAATTGACTCGAGAGAGGTTGGCATGACTGCAATAAATGAATCTTAAATTGCATTCCAAATCTCACAGGAGCTGGGACCTAAATACTTATTGAATGGGGCTTAATAATTATAACAAAATGCTCTGTTTTTATTGCTATCTATTAATTAAGCCATCATGCATTTGGTTAATTTACAGTTTCAATGCGAATTCTAATTAATAAACACAAATCAGGATAATAATAATTATGTTTATTTATTTTTTTGCT